CAGAGTGCCCCCTCAAAGTGGGGATTACACAAGGGTCACCTCAAAGGCTCCCCTTGAGGGATCAGCATCAGGCCTGGGGCCACGGACATGTTTCTGGGGAGGAAGAGAGGGCTGTGAAAAGCTACCACTGCTGCAGGGAGGGAAGGTGCTGCCTGTGGGTTCAGCATCAGGTGGCAAAGGCAGGAAAAACCTGCTCCAGAACAAAATCTTGAGGGCACAGAATGCAATTTGAAATCTGAACTTTTGCTTTTTTTTGTTTCTGGTGCCACAGGCATTTCTTGACTGATTAAAGGCACCCTAAAACTGATTTCCTTATTCAGACAGCCCCTCTGCTGCCCACCCTGTCCCCAACCAGGTGACTGAGACCCTTCATATTCACTCTTGCATTCAACTGCAAAAGTCTGAATTAGCAAAGACAAGTGTCACAGGTGCTCAACATCTCCTGTTGAGCCAAGATCTTTATTTGTTATAGCTGTCAACCCAGTCAATGCCTGCCCTATCACACTGTGGGCAGGCATATTCCATCCTGCTGGTGTCAAAAGCACATCTATTTATTCAGTGTTGCTCTGTGCTGGGCAATTGCCACAGTGTGGGGAAAGAGAATTGTGATCAGCACCATTTATCTACATAATTGTGCTTGTTTCTGGACAATTGTTGGGTCAGAGGCTAATGTTTTTATTTATAGTCTTTCTACACTCATCTGAATTTTCCTGTGCCTTTTTCTACAGAAAAGAATTCGGTACCATTTGGCTTCTACTGCAGAAATTCTGCTAGCAATCTGAGAAAAAGTATCTGAAAGTAAATCCATTACACTCATTGGAACAGAACTTTACATTAGGGAGCTGGAGTAGTGCCTAAGACTCAAGGTGCATTTCTAGGAAGAAATCAAAGATCAAATACACATTTGGCTTCTTTTTTCTTCATATTGTATAACTACCAAGAGAACTCAAATGTATTTGCCTGGATACTATCTTTAAAAGCTGAAACAAAAAATATATGTTCCCTATACATCTCAGTGTCCATTTCATCTAGTTCTGAAATTCCCTAAATAAGAAATAATATTGGTTTTCTTTATGGCAATAATTCTGTTTATTTTCACTAAGATATTTCATTTAGTATTTTGCCTTTTTGCTATGCTTATTAAATAAACAAATCAACATCTAAGTTTAACACAGTTGTTGCCTTAGGCAAGCCACTACTTCACTTCTTTAACACCTCAAGGGTTTCCAAATAGCCACACAAAGTAGAGCTGCTTGCTTCATTTTCTATTGTACTGCAGGCAGCCTGCAAAGGAAGTCATGCATAATTTTTTAATACAAAAATGGATTTTGCTGAAACTGCTGTTTGCATTTTTTTTAAATAGGTGCAATTTTTCAATTGAAATATATATTTTTATTTTAAATTATCCTTTCATTTAAAACTAGATAATTTAAAATTACAAATGAATTTTTACCAATGTGGTTTCAAACTTGGATTTACATTAAATAACATGCAATACTCAAGTATTATGTGTCTGTTGGTAAATATTTGCTGACCATCAAACCACTGAATTGGGAGAGTTTAAGAGACTAGAGAAAACAGGCTCTGACAGAAGTGCTTAGTCCAAGTTTGATATCTGTAGCTTTGTCTGCATGTTCAAAGGAGGTATTTTCTTCACTTTATTCAGGTTAGCTTTATGCAATATCTAGTTCATGCACAGTTATCTCTTGAGAGCTGATAAAGGCAGAAAATCTTACTTTCTACTGAAAGGAAAAGCTCCATGGCAGAGACTGAAATCTGCTAATTCTAAAAACTTTCAGGGCACAGAAAAAAACACACTGTTCTGTTTACTCAGTACAAAGAATGGCTAATTTGACTAATAAATGACCTTAAAATATGTAATAAATAAATAAACATAAAAATATGAAATGTCATTCATTGGTTTCTAAGAAAACAAAAAGCAAATATCAAGAATATGAATAAATATATCAGGAACTTGTATGTAATTCCCTAAATGCGACAATATAGGTTCCAGTTTTACTAATATAAGTACCTAATGTAAACAAGTATCTGTCAAACTGATCTGTCCTATGGTATACTCACAGCAGTGGAACAGGAGTGATTATAGTGATCAAAGGTTTTTCTCCCATCAGTATTTTGACTACAGGAATTATGCTGCCAGTCAACAATACAGTAACCAGGGAGAAGATGATGTAAAAGGAGGCTACCACTTTTTTTTTTTTTAAAAAGTGTTCTTCCCAGTTTAGATTATCAAACTAGTGAGGTCAACCACCATTTTATTTACTGCTACACCTTGGCAGAACGGCAGAATACTTTAATAATACCAGCTGGGGGGAAGAAACCCTTTTCCAGAAAACTAATTACAAAGTAAATGCACACAAGAAAGATGGAGTGATAATTTCTTCTGACCCTCTATGTTTTTTACAGCACCCTTTCTTAAAGCAGAAGCACCAAAACAGCCTTCTGGTATCAGTGTCACCACAGTCAGACTTAGAACCAAAACAACAACCCCTGCTCTATGTTATCGATTTTTACAGTGAACTTGCTTATTTGCTGTGATTCCCGATATATTTCCCTCAAAGCTTAGGACTCCTTAGAACACAATTCCTCTTTCTCTCGATGAAGAGAGAAACTCTTCAGCCCTAAATGCAGTATGTTGCTATGCATGGATGGGCTGAGGTTACCAAGCAACCCAAGTGCTTGATGGAGCAAGTGGTCCGGACTGTTGGTATCATTTGCAAATTTCATTGACGAGGAAATTCTGTCAGCTTCCAGGTTGTCCACAAAATACCAAGGACATCTACCGAAATCTTCAGCAAAAACTCTCCCTCAATTATGACTCCTCTTGCCAAGTATTTTCTATGTTACTGTCATTTAGCAAGTGCTCCATTCGTATTGTGTAGGGATAATGTTTTATGAGAGCACTGAATAACTATTCAGAATACTAAGTGAAGTAAACTCTAATAAATACTTTGCTGGTCATACTGTAGAACCAAGGAAGCTGATAGGAACTGTGATCAGAGGTGAGGGATTTGTGTTCCAATATAATTTAGTAGAAGAGGGGATTTACCCTGTGACTATTACAATGTCGTACTACAAAATAAAAGGAGATACCACCACCACCACTGCTTCACCCATAGGCATATGCCTGTCCTTGTCCTTTGCTTATGTAGCATTTGCCTCAAAACACAATGCTGTTAATGAAAACAAGGTAATTTGTCTAAGCAGAAATGGAGCCTCTTTCTTAGAACTTGCCGCCCTGCTTCATCTCAAAATTAAACCCTCCATTTTCTCCATTCAGACTGACTCACAGTTTATTATTTATTTCCTGGGTTGACGAACCGATAAATCAGTTTCGTGCACAGTCCTGACATGCTTAATGCCACAGAGATTCAGTAATTCAATTATTAAGCTTGGATTCATTGTGCCAAACAGCCTCATTTTCCTTACGGTCTGCTTTTCAGGGTAAACAGGACAGAGCTTCAAAACTGCATCTCACTGACTCATCCAAGAAGAATGGAAGCTGCTGGCTCTAGCCTGTCTTACCTCTTAGCAAAATACAACTGAGTGGTCACTAAAGTAGGTATGGAAGCTTGTATTGTTGTCCACATCTCTGACATGCTCTGTCCCAAATAGGAAAGTGAACCACACAGAGTTGCAGACAGGTGGTTCACTTAGTAACACATGATATATTCAGTACTGGGATCCTTTAAGACCCCAAATAAAACTCAAAACCTGGGCTGTGTGCTTATAGCTAAAATGCCTGAAAAGCAACCAAACAAGCAATAGGAAAGAAGGAAGCTGTTTTATAAATATAAATCCAAAGATTTTTATTCCCATGGGCAGTTATTAAATTGTGCATATTCTTTATATCACTTTTTTCTTCATTTATAAGAAGTACTACATCAGAAGACTTTTGTTTTGGAGACTGCTGGTAGCTAAACATGCTTAATTATGATATACAAGGTCATGAAATATTTGATGCTGTATGAACTAAATTCAATGTATTCAATGTATTCAATTCAATGTATTTCTTTATCTCAGAAATATATAGTGGCAATAAAGAAAGAAGTCCTAAAATTTCAATACCAATCATCCACAGAGTAATAAAACATGATTGTCAAAACTCAACCAACCTGTAACCAAGAACTGCATTTCATAAAATCTACTGGATACACAGAAGTGAAATAAGTGAAATATATTCCAAGATGTAGCAAATAACATATTATTTACAGTAATTTTATGAAAATAGAAAGAAAGATGAAATTTAGTAGTGCTGTAAGAATTGCCATTGATATTTCTGGAGCAGCAGCCTCTGGATATATAAGATCTCTCACTTAAGAAGTTAGGATAAGTGAACTTCATTGTTTAGAATAACTTTGTGTTTTAAAATTCAGTCTCATGAAAGTTAAACTTTATGCACAGGAAAACTAAAATTTTAATACGTTCTGAAGCTCTCCCTCAACAAGAGCTGAACAGAAAGGAACTTTCTTTTCTATTCCTCTTAGTAAGGATCCTCTTCTTCCTCATTCCAATATAAACCTTTTTCCTCTCCACTTCTCTCAATCCTTTCCAGTTCTTCTAACACTCTTTCCTCTAAATGAAGAGTGTATCCTCAGACACTATTATTTCCAGAAGTTTCCAAATTCTTCTAGCTTCCTTTCCCTAAACGCCAGCAAAAACATACAAATATTTAATGATTTAATTTTCCATTCTAAAAATATTTTAGAGAAAAGGGTTTCCCAAAACATCCAGAGATGTCACCAGAGGTGCAATTCAAGTTGGGATAAATAGGTGAGTCAGTGCTTTACCTCATCTCTATCTGTAATTGATAGGTTTCATTCTAGCTGGGAAATTTAAGAGCAGTTCCATACTATTCAATTTGCACTCATGTTTACTTGGCTCAGAAAATTAATGCGATAGTCCATATAATAAATACAAGAATAAAATACAAGTCAGGAATATTAGAGAGGGAAAAAAATCTGGAATGGAGAACTTACTTGTCAGAAGAGTAGTGATATTTAAAAACCTGCTGTCGATGGTCAGCTTTTGCAGTCCCAAGATATCTAAAAGTGTTGAGTATGCTCTGGAAAGGAGAATGATCAAGGATTTAATAATTTTGTCACCCATCAAATACTAAACCAAAACTTGTCCAACATAGATTGCTTTCCCATTTTATGAGGTTATTAATTCATAAAATATGTTTTTATTGCCCCGCTGGATTTGTAGGGATTTCATGGGCTTCCAGAAGTTGAACTGCTCAGATCAAACTTCCTGGAGTGACTAGGGAGTCAAAACAATGAGGAAAAACAATTATATAACTTATTATCTTGCATACCTACATTTGCAAGCTCTTATAGTTGAGAGAGAGCAGTGAAAATGAAAGAAGTCTGACTCTTTTATTATTTAAAAAACCAATATGCCTGAGTAAATGACTTACCAAAACAAACCCAGAAAATCATGTCCCTAAACGTCTTTCAAAAAAACGACTACAAGTTCATTTGCTATCTTTTGGACTAGTTAATGTATTTGGCCTCCTAATGTGTGGTCTAGTAGCTGAGACTATCCCTTTGTACTCAAACACAACTCTACATTAAAGTATAGCTTTGTAATTTCCAATTGTCCTTAACAGAAAGGGGAGTTGACTGTACCAAGAAGCCCTCCTAGCTCTCAAAATCAAAATGAAACTGAAAAACTGGGATGAGTGCTTCCATCTATGCAGGCTGTGGTGGAAGGAGTTATGGGAGTTGGGAATTAGGGAGTGGAGTTGAATCTATGAAAAAGAATGTTAGATGGAAAGTGGATTTAGTGTTGTCTTTATTTCTCACTTTCCTATTCTATTTTTAACTGACAAAAAACTAAATTAGTTTTCCCAAAGTCATCTCTGGGGATTTTTTTTTGCCTATTATTATTATATTTGCAGGGAATGCCCCGACAAAAGCAGGAATGATGCATCTGACTCCATGTTCTCAGGAGGCTAATTTATTACTCTATTATACTTCATTATATTTAATAATACTATTCTATACTAAAGAATACAGAAAGGATACTTACTGAACGCTAAAAAGCTCATAATGAAAGCTTGTGACTCTTTCCTGAGTCCTGACACAGCTTGGCCCCAATTGGCCAATGAGTCAAAACAACTCACACCAGAATCCAGTCATGCAATCACCTGTGAGTAAACAATCTCCAAACACATTCCACATGAGCATAACACAGGAGAGGCAAATGAGATAAGAATTGTTTTCCTTTTCTCTGAGGCCTCTCAGCTTCCTGGGAGAAAAATTTCTATTGTATTTTTCAGGAGGAAGTGAGAGGCTAGATGGATGGGTGCCTGGCTGCTGGCCAAAGTCAGCCCAACACAACTATGAAAGAATGTTTCCACTGTCAATCTTTCTAAGATCTCCAGGACTTAGACTGGAATGGAGATATAAAATCCATACTAATAAAACTCTGCCTATAACACATAGGAATAAACAACAGAATTATTAAGGAGCAGAAATGTTGCTCAGAGAAAATTGCATTAACAGGAAAACTTCATAGATCTCTACCTTCTGTACTGTAGTGCAGCCACAAATTTGAAAATAAAAGCTTATAGTTACAAGGACAAAGTCAAATGACTACTACTCCATGAAAGGAGACAGATGAAAACCTCATTTTAAAAAGATGTCTACTTGTGATATGATACTGAGGTGTCTTTGGCCCATTAAGGAATTTTTGACAGCAATAATTGAAATATAACGTAGCAATTTTTTTAAAGTCAGAGATGAGACTGATCAACTTGCAGCAATATATTTATTCTGTCAGCACTCTTTTAGAAACAACTATTTAAAGTTCTTTCACAGCTAGGTTTTTACAGTCCTAAAGTGATTTATTTAATTTCAGATTTCATTAGGCTCCAGAACTCCATTTTAGCAATCATTATGATACTGATAGCACATTTCAACTATGAAAAAGATTGAAATGCTATGCATCTCTACCTGATATTGAAGGCTATGGGATAAAAATCTCCATTGAGTCAGTACTGCAGAGGATTATGCATTTGTTTGGATTCCCTTGCTTTTGGTCTGGATGCGCCTTACAGCAGCAAAATCAGCAAAACCCTCTCTAAAAGTCATGGAATATACTCTTTCCTGAATGAGTTTTCTGTTAGAATTAATGTTCTGTTAAAATAATCAACAGCCCACTGAAATTGTGAGCTCCATGGCAAACATTTACACTGCCTCACATACATGAGAGAAACCTCTGGTATAACAAAACCTAGAAAAATAAAAGTTGCCAGCAGAACTGAGCAAGTACAAAATTCTATCAACAATCTCCCATTTACAGCCCAACCCCTCTTGTAATTTAGTTGTTTTCAAGGCTAAATGACTAAGCTGTCCTACCTGTACCCTGGGAAATCTATAAACACACAGTGAAATTAACTACTAGTTGGGAAAGAGAGCTTGGAGACAGCCTTATGAAAATGTCACCTAAATCCTCATCAACTGTCAAAAAAAAATAAAGCAGTATATTAGGAAATACTAGGAATAGAACAGAAAACAGAAGAAGAAATACGATAATGCTGCCAAAGAAATCCATTGCTCACCTAGCATTTTGAATATTGAATACAGTTCCAGTCATCTCATCTCAAAAATGACAGGATAGCAATAGGAGGATAAAGAAAATGGTGACAGGATGATCAAAGGTATTTAATGGTTTCTCTACCAGGAAAGAAAAAAGAAAGACTTTAGGATTTTCATATAGAAGAGGGACAAATGAGGAAAAGGACTGTGACAGAGCCCCAAGACAATAATGAAGCAAACTGAGAAAGTGAATAAAGAATGGTTTTCACTTTATTTCATAGCAAAGGAAGTAGTCACAATAAAATTAGTAGTTGGTAAGTTTTAAACATAAAATCCAAGAGAGGATGCTTTCCATGAGGATCATAATTACAAGGTGGAAATTCATTGCCACAGGATGTGGTGGGAAGCTCCAAAGATGTGTGGGCTTCAAAAAGCAAGCCGCTGTAGTGGTGAAAGAAACATTGACCTGTACTAGTCCGTGTTTTACCCAAAGCTGCGTGCTATAAACTTTCAGGTTAAGAAGCTTTACAGAGTGCTGTAGGGTGTTACCAAGGGAGGTTGTCCTTTGGTCTGGTTTAAATACAGCTGTTGCAATTCTTGTCATTAATTTTGCTTTTTTTCTGAGTTCTTAGTCATCTCTTGCAACAGGCAGATGTTAGAGAGCATTAGTGCAAATATGTGATTTTACATTTCTATAGACATATCTAGAGAGGGGCTTAAGGACCATTTAAAGTTCAAATAGTGCAGCCTACTCAGGCAGGCAGGCTTTAGGCTAGGATTTTCTGAGGATCCTCAGGTCTGGCATCCAAGCATCCAACTGCTACTGAAGAATAAAGGGACTGGTATACAAAACTCTCATTTTATGGAAATAAGAGATGATATACTGAATTTTCTTCCCTCAAAAAAGAAGAAAATGGTAATACCATTCCGGTGTAGTTAGTGGCCTTCATCTTAACTGTTACATGTGTCTCATGATGGGAGGCACAGAGATTTTCCCAGACACACAGATAGATGTAGGATATATGGAGTTGTCACTTTATGTTTATTGTGGTGATAAAATACTATTATTTTAGTGACTAAGCAAGGTTGCTTGAACTCTGTGTCTTCTTCTGTTCATCTTATGCAGATCTATTAAAGACTTCTCTCTGGGACTCTTTTGCTACAAGTGAACAGCTTGTGACTTCCACCATGGGATGGCTGATGCTTCTGATCAGATAAAAGGCCATGGTTAGGAAACACTTTTAGAGGACTATGATGGAAGTGTTCTGACTGACTTTGGCAGACTAGATCTCTGGTTGTGGAGGTCACAACTAAGTTGTGGGGTATGTCTGGTCCTACAACTCTTGGTTGCTCAGATCACTAACTTTGGTTGCTATCACTCTTCCCTTCTGCTACTTACCCATGTTATTTCATTGAAAACCAGGAGGTCTGGGGAGGGATGGGGCATAGCCTGGTGTGACCCCAGTCACTGGGAAGTGAACCAGAAAACATGAGGGGAATTTTCTTCCAGTACTTTCATAGTGATTACTCAATGTCTGTTCAGGACAGAAAATGTTTGCATGGCGTCTTGGAGTGTTAAATATCCTGAAAGCTGAATACGTCATGCTAGGCTAAGCTCACTTGGTATTTTGGCTGTTTTAGGTGGGACACTGGTTTAGGACACAGACCCATCTGATCTCATGTAGATATTTTTAGTTACTAATTTATGCAAAATTCCAAAACTCTAAAAGGTTATCAGATCTGTACAGAGGATTATTACAATTATAATTGTATTAATTTTTTATTTCCTAAACCATAGATGGTCTTGTAAAGAACTCTGAAAATAAAACCCTTTGTTTATTCTAATTATCCTAGAATGTGAAGTTATACAAAGGTACCAGTGAAACTCAGAATTTTCTGCCCTCAAAATTTTTCTTGCACACTAGCTGGAACAGTTCCTAAGAGCCGTGCCCAAAAAAGGGAAATCAGACTCAAGAGATATTGCAGAAAAAGCTACTTCTAACTACCTGCGTTGGAACAGTGACTGCTCTTAAAATTTATACCCTACACTGAGAAATAGTAGCTGTTCAAAACTGATGGGAAACAAATGAGGTTTACATACAAATCAGTGTGCCTGCATAAGTTCTTTCAAAGTTTACCTCAATTAACATGAAATTGTTATTCTGCTCAAGCAAAAAGACTTTTCTGTGCAGGCATGTACTTACTCCAACACCTGTCCACTCTAAAAGGTCACAGCTCAGGCTGATTGGTGTTTCAGCTAGCAGAGTTGTGTTGGACTAGTGCAAGGGATTCAAGTCCCCGAGCTCAGTTTGTTTTCTCAGTGACAGTAATTGGTAAATGATCTAATTCATTCTGAGTCATGAGATTTTTGAGTTCCTCTTCTGAGGAGAGGGATTGAGAGAGCAGCTAGATGGGTGCCTAGCCACTGGCCAAGATCAACCCAATGGAGCAGGCAACATATTTAAGCATCTTTGTTTTCAATGAAAATGTCCAGACTGGGTTTGTTGCACCTCCATTATAC